TTCAAAAAAATTATATTTTTGAATAAAAAATTGATAAAGTCATATTTTTATCTAAACATTTTCTAATCAATTGAGAATTCATAAAAAACCAATGTGTTGAAGATGAAAAAAATTTCATTCAAGATCAAACAGAATAAAATTTCTTTGCCACAATTCCACTCTTTTTGTATTCTATTTGATATTGAATGCAATTTTTTGCATCTTCAACATATTGGTTTTTTGTAAATTCTTAATTGATTAGAAAAGATTTAGATAAAAAATATAACTTTATGAATTTTTTATTCAAAGATATAAATTTTTTGAATTTTTAAATTTAGAAAAAAAAAAACTAATCTCTACTGAATATGTTAATAAACTACATGAGATTATCTAAAATTTCCTTTATTCTTGAAGTATATAATAGTAAATTTTCACTTTTTTAATTTAAATACATAAATATTATCTTATTTTGATTAAAATTATCATTTGTTATGTTATCATCATTCTTTAATAAATCTTAAAAAAAAGTAAGAAAAATTGTAAAATTTTATATTATCATCTTTTTAAGAAAAAGAAGAAATTTATCATTTAATTTAAAAATATAAAAAGTTTATATTTTTAAATAGATTAATAATAAAGTTATCATCTTTATTTATGTATTATCTTCTCAGATTATGAGATTTTCATATTTTATTATTTAAAAATTATCAATTGTAAATTCCATAATTGCCTTATGCAGGATTCCACGTTGGGTTGGGAGAGGCAGTAGGAAGTTAGGCCAAGGCAAAAAAATTTGTGGGAGATGTGATGTGATAAGGGTGGGGCCCACAAGAAAGGGTGGCCAAAAAAAGCATGATAACCGGTTTGACCGTTGCATTTAACTATTAATAAACAGCACCGTTAGTTACAGTAGACAAAGGGACGACATTTGGGTGTTTCTACATTGTAGAGGGATGACAAGTGGAATTAATTAATAGTAGAGGGACGACATGAAGCCAATCCATAGTAGAAGGTTTAGAATGCACTATTTTTAATAGTAGAGGGACGATAGATGGCCTTAACCCAAGAAAAAAAAAAAAGGATGCTTTCATTCATTTATGGGGAGCAACGGTTTTCTGCATGTTGGTCATTTGGTGAGGACGGAAAGTCATTAATATTTCTTTAAGGTCATGTCTAGAAATGCAGATTTATATTTGATGTGTGTATTTGAA